AATACTAGTAACAAGGAAGTATTGTCATCTCAACAACATGAAGTCATATGTCATCATAGAAGCAATGTTATGGCAACATGCATCATGAATCACATCTCCATATAACCCCGAGCTCTGCTGCGGTCACATTTTTTGCAAGATGTATAAAGCTAATCATGCCCTGCCCCTGAACCAAGCCATGAAGTGCATAAACAATCAGATAAGTGCTTTCACTCATTTGCAGGTAGTTATTTTGAAAATTGATGTGGCAGACAACACTTGCAAGTAAATTAAGCATGAAGAGAGACTGGAATAGCCAAAACAAGAATCAGTGTAACTTGACCAAGTTTCAAATCTAACTCCAAGCACGTACTTTGACCTCAGGAGACCAGTGATCAAGTGCTGTCAATCCACAAGGAATGACCAAATTACACAACTTTCCCAAATGGGGAGGATCAATCTGCAAAAAGGAGATTACCCACAAAACAAATATAGCAGTAAATTAACACAGCAATGCCATTGTAAAGGTAAAAGAACAGTCAACATAACGGAGATAAAACGGTAAATTTCTAGCAGAACAATCTGCGCAAAACCAACCTGATTAACAAACCATCTAAACTGATAAGCACCCAGAATTGCATTTCCTACAGGAGCCCTAGCTGATGCTGCAGAAATCTCGTCACCTTCACTGCTCTTATCAATTGAACTCTCCTTAATCGTCTCCTTCAATACAGGTAAAACCTCGGGCATCAGTTCAACTATAAGCCTCTTATCCTCCCTCACCGAACCAGAATAATCCACACCAAAGACAGCCATCCTCTCCGAATTTCTCTCCGCAAAAACCCGAACGTAACCAATTGAGATCTCCTCAAAGGTTGATTCCACGGCGGCCGAGAGGTGTCTAGGGATCCATGAGAGCAATTCGTGAGTCGAGGATTGAGAGGCAGATAGTAAAGCGCATGCTAAAGCGAAGTCCTTGATCGAGGTGCGGACTTGGTGCTCTGTGATGTTAGGGTTTCTTTGTGACGTTTTGCGGGGTAGCAGAGATTTGAGTATCTCTTTTGGGGAAATGGCGGTGCCGTCTGGTGGAGTGTAGTGCGTATGCTCAAGTGAGTCTAAGATTGGGTCCGTTAACCTGTGAATCGAAATAGAGATTATCTTCGTGAAAAGAAAACACATCCACACGAACAAACGAACGATAGAGAATGAAAGAGAGAGCTTACTGAAGAAGATGGTTATGGAGGTCGGAGAAGGAGTTCGACATTGTGGAGTGGGTTGAACTCGGTTTAACGAGTCAAACGTTTTCCTAAACAGAACTAGCAAGAAGGAATTAAACCATACAGGAATACGTTCAATCTGAGTTTTAGTTTTACTTAGAGGCGAGAGAAGAAATACTCTAATAAATTATTTAAAAAATGATAAAGAAATTTACTATTTAGTAACTTAGTAAATATCATAAAATATTCAATATCTATCACTATAATACCAAGGAAAAAAAAAATGTACAGCATATATATATATATATATTCTTATAATTTCATTTAAATTATTTTTATTTCGATTTTTAAATTAGAATTTCCGTGTGGTGCGAATGATATATAAAATGACATCCACACGAATTTCCTTGTTACCAAAATAATTGATAATCAAATTTTCAATAAATTTCAACCCTTTTTTTTTTTTTTTTTTTACTTTACTCTTTTCTCCTTATTTAAACATTAAAATGTGCAAAGAAAATGAAAATAATTTAAAAGAGAAGGAAAAAAATTTTAAGAAGTGAAAAACTCATAATATCATTTAAATTATTTTTTGGTAATTTTTTAAGATTTATATTAAATTTTTTTGGGTTGTAGTAATTATTATAATTTAAAAAATAAATATTAAATAATATTATTTTCATTCAAAAATATTCATCACCCAATGTGGTTTCTATAATTTACAGACAAATATTACTTCCTGTAAAAAATTTAGACATACCTGAGATTCCATATTACAAACAAGTAAACTTAACAATGAAAATTAAATAACAAGTTCTAAAAATTATTGCTTTTACATATAATAATAAAAATAAACCCACAAACATTTAAAAACAAACAACAACAACAACAAATAAGAACTAAATTGCAATAAGCCTAAAACCCGGATGGCGGAAGCTTTAACTTCTCCTATTTTTATTTTACATTTATGCATCATCATTTTCACAAAGCTAAATCAGAAGCTGATGAAAAGCATTAATTCATTTACGCAGACAAAGTCCTGCAAGAGTCATTTTACAGATCTGGGAATGCATGCAATACAGTCCCATACATCATTCAAACACAACCAATATCCCAAAAGATCAGTGAGACAAAAACAACAAAAGAGAAGAGAAGCCAAGTTTTTGCTCCCCACAACAAAAATCAGAGGGATCCAAAAGGTAAAAAGAAAGAGGCACACAGGGAAAGCAGTATAAAATCCAACCAAATACATGAAAAATATACATCGGTTAAAGTTGTTTCAGGCATCTGGAACAGAGGCTGTTGCACGTTTCAGCGATGCAGACTTAATCAGATGATTGTAGCTTCCCTTCTCCTTAAAAAGCTGCGAGAAATGGTGTTTGCAGTACAAAATGCCCTCCAAGGCTGCATAATTTGAAGGTGAAATGGGGCAGCCGCCATGAGAGCACTTGAAGCACGACTTGTGGTAGGACTGACCCTCCACAGTTACCTGCAGGTTTTTGGTAAAACAACTCCTTACATGATTTTACAGGCATGGGGAGAAAAATAAGACACAAATCACGGTGGATACTATAAAACGCATAATCTGATGAAAGATAAAAGAGATCTTATCTTGTCTAAGAATTAATGCAAGCTAGAAGCTCCTAAAATTCAATATTCTCAAGTTTGATGCTACTGAAACCAAGATAAGGTCTATATAATAAGTTCATGATTTTTTAGACTTATATTAACTGAAACTAGTGGGCAGAAAGCTAAGGATCAGGACAACAAAATCAGAGCGAGCCAAACCGGGGTCCTTGAGGAAAATAAATCAACCTGAATATCTGTATAAGTTGAGTGCATGAGTTTAAAATTAAAAGACTTAGTGGGTGTTTCAGATTCTCTTTCTGGTGCTAACAAGGAATAAGCACTATCTGTTTGGAATAAATTCAGAAAAAATATATAATTCATTTACAAATTCATACTTAGTTAAACTAAAAGAATTTATAAATTGTATTAGGAAGATAAAAAATTTGAGTTCATCAATTTTAACATCTTTAGGTAAGACTATTATCATCTCTAAATAAAATAAATGTGAATATGCAAATAAACTCAAAATAAAATTTTAGACTGGTTCCAAACATTGCCTTGGAATCTACACGTTTAGTAATAAAATAGGCAGAGGGCTCTTTCAGTGCCTAAAAGTAACTTTAAACATGAAAAGAAATAAGCATCGTATTCATAATTTTTAAAAGGTACAACTCTTTTTCCCAGATGATTTATTTTTTGCGCTTCTATACATAATTGTTTGTTTTCTAAATAAACCCTTGGTTGCTATAAGCTTTTAGTGCTTAAAGTAAGCTAAAATACATTTCTATAAGAAATCTCAAACATCCTCTTAGATATGCAGAGGTTTAGTTCTCTTACAGCAGTTACCTTCTGCTTGATACGAAGCTCAAAATAAGCCTACAAAATAGAGAATATCACAAATGACACTGGTCACTTCTGGATTTACTTTGGGACTCATCATCTACCATCCAGCAGTTAGAAAAAGATGACTATGTCATCTGGTTGAGACTAACAAACTAATGTTTATGTAATCAATATTTGAGCTGCTAAACAATCTCAATTCTGTATTTCCATATCCGGAGCTATAAAACTAATTTCAATCATACATCAGTGCGGATCGCCAATACCATGTTGATGCCTAGTCATAAAATTATGAAACGCTAGATTGATATTTAGTTAACATAATGACCTTTACAGTTCCATAATCTTACCTTCTCCAACGGATAGGCAGTTTTACCACAAGTAGCACATTTTTCCTGTGTCCCCGAAAACATGCTGGCCGCTTTGCTAGGTGACCTCGTCTAAGACCAACAAAAGCTATTAGGATTCAGCAACAACAACAACTGAAGAATCAATCTCCTTATGATGAATTTTTTCTAGTCATAAATTAAACATTAAGCACATGCAGTGTTGGAAGGAAGATTTTACCAGCTCTGGAGTCAACTTCTCAGCTGACTTGACAGCTGTTAACAATGAAATTCATGGCAAATTAAACAGGTAAAAAAAGAAAAAGCTAATGGGAAAAGAAAGAGAGTTTTGTAACAGTACAAGAAAACGTACGTGATTGAAAGTTCTTGTTGAAACTACCCGTCTCCTTGAACAGCTGCTCAAAATGAGGTTTACAGTACAATATGCCTTCCATGGAAGAATAGTTTCCAAGCTGAAAACATTAAGTTACAAAACTTGATAAGAACTATAATTTCACCAAGCGATCAGACAAATTGTTTTGGTAAACAAATCCCCTCCCACAAAGTCTATGCTCGGAAATTCCTACATTAACAGTGTTTCAGAAGCTCTACAAAATTTATATCCAGGGATTTAACAAAGTTATCTGAGCTATCTTCTTCTGCATTTATTTTGCATGGTTACCAGCATAGAGTCAAAATTAGAGGTTAAAATCAGTAACAAAAATGCTAAAAGAAGATAATAGATGCAATTGATCTCATAATGCAACCAATGTGCTAAGATACATAAGCTTCAAATACATGCACACACACACGCGCGCGCGCACACACATAAATACGCACACACATTCATTTTGTTCTTGAAAGGGAAGTAACAGTATTATAAACTAGGCACTATTAAGCATTGTATGCCACGCATGTACAATTAGATAATAATATACACACAGACACATAAATTCCTCGATAATGTATATATATGAATATAACAACCTTTAGAGTGCCTTTGCAGTGCGTGCACTTGAAGCAAGACTTATGATAAGGAACCCCATCTGCAGAGAGGAGCTCCACGGGATAGACCGTCTTCTCACAGGCCTTGCATTTCTGCTGGGTACCAATAAAAGACATTGCTTTAAATTGCTTCCTTTTTCTTAGATCTGACTCTTCTTTCTATCCTCTTCCAGATCACTCCACCAATCAAACTAGTTGTCTCCAATATAGAAATCTAAAAAGCAAAAAAGAAAAAAAAACAAACAAACAAACAGTATCAATTCCTGCTTTGCTCCAAAGAAAATAACTTTCAACTACTTGAAACAATCAAAGCAAAAACGGAAAAAAAAAAAACAAAAAGAAAAGACAGCAGCTGATTTTGACCCAGATATCAAATTTGCGGAACTTGTTAAAATTTCTCTTTATTAGCGATCCAGCAATCGAATATACAAGAGAAAATAAACAAAAACTTGATCATCAACAAGGATCAAATTCAAGAGAAATTATCAAATATATGAAAAATGCATTTATCAGGATCTGATGCAAGCAAACAAATGGAAAATGTTTTATTACCTTGAGAAGACCCAGAAGAAAATGATGGATCTGCGAGCTTGTTGTTAGCTGCTTGAAGTCTATCGATCTAAACCCAAATAAGGAAATGTAAACACAAAGCAGAAATAGAAAGTAAGGAAGTCGAAATTCGAAAAACCCAAGTTCCTATTAAGGTTTATGCGGAGAAAGAGAAGCGGAAATTGGGGGATATTTGCAGAGAGTCGAGGCAGCAAAGTAGATAAACGATGAGGGTGATGGAGAGGAGAGAAGTACAGAGGGATTGTTGTATATAAATAAATAAATTTAAAAAAATAAATATTTTGTTATTCGCTGTAAAACAGTGCGGCTCCACTTAGCCCGGTCTAACTAACCAATTACACGGCTCCCTTTGAGTCGTTTTTTCGTTTTGTTAGAGCCAAAAATTTTCACGTTGACCCTTGTTCTATACACATATGAAACACAATACTTATACACGAAATTGCATTTTTCAAAAATTACTTTACAATAATTTAATTTGAAATAAATTATTTGTTTTTTTTTTTGTTCCTTGTAAATTAAATATTTTTTAATCATACCCATTAATAATATCTTTAAAAATTTTGAATATTCTATTTCTTGAAATTTTTCTTTTAAATTTTTTTTTTAACTTAAATCAACGATCAAAAAGGACAGAAAAAGAGTTTGATCGACAAGTCACGTGGCATGATTGAGGAAGATGATGCTGTTAAAAGTCACGTAAATTGCCCATGTCATTTGTTATATATATTATAAATATCACATACACGTTAATTATAATTTAATATTTTATATCACAAAGGAAATTAACAATTATACAATTAATAAATAATTATTTGCGTGTATATATAAATTTTGAAGACATGTATATATATAAACACGCACATAAAATATGCAGGTGCAAAAATGTTCGGCTTACATGGAATCAATTTGAAAAAGCCCGTGGGCTGGCTTAAACTGGTTACATCAATGGGCCCAAACAATTGGGTTGGGCCTACACCTAACCATCTTATGTTAATGGGAATTATTGGGTCATGAATAGTTTTGCTGCTAATTAAATCAAAATATTTAGTTTTTCTTAATTCTATAATATTTTGTCAAATGCACAAATGTTAGTTTAGTTAGTAAAATAGTATTTAAATATAGTACTCAATAATATTAATTTCATAAATATACGATATAATATTTATTAGTAAAAATTTAATTATTTCTAAATTTATTAATTATATATTTAGCCGGAGGCATGGGAGTGGGTAAATTATTAAATTTGTATATGCTCTGTGTCTGTTTTAAATTCATAATTTTCTATACACATTAGTCTCGTATTTTGTATTGAATACAAATTTTTACATATTTTATAAAGTGTTAACTAAGACGAGTCATCCATCTCAATGCTTATTTTTAAGATAACCTATAATAAAAGCCAAATAAATTCAATTATTTGGAACTTGAATTCAACTTTAAGAAGCACCCATCATAAGAAAAAAACAATATGATGATTGTATAATATAATAAGTTCGGAGAAGTTGTGTTTATTAAAATTAATATTTTAAGATTTATGTCTATTTTAACTATAGAAAAAGTACAAATTAACTAACTCAATAATACTACAAGATGCATTAAATAATACACAAAATTTAAGTGTCACGTATATTTGGTATGGCATTTCATGGCTACCCATGATGTTTGTGTCACACGTGCACCCACATATATCTATAAATTCATTATATAAAGATTGATTACAATTATTACTACCTTTGTTATAATTTTATACTAAATTGAAGCTTCTTTATTACTTTTTTATTTTTATTTTTTTTTCTTCTGGAATATATATAGTTATGCTTAAAATAAGTTTATTATCTTAGTTTCAGTGAAATACGAATAATTTTCAACATTCTCAACATATAATTTTATTTAAAACATGAAATTAGTTTTTTAATTGAATTTATTTTTTAGAATATAAAATTAAAAATATATTATGGTTTGTGATATTAAACTACGTTTACATAATTCACCCACATATGTGTACGCGCGTATTTGATTGCAAGTAAGATATTAATAAAAAAATACGATGTAATTTGAAATAAATTTGTCAGTGATATTAAGTTTTCAATAAATTTATATTATTTTTAAATCATATGCTGACAATTTCATTTTAAAAAAAATATATAACATAAACAATAACTTAATTAAACAATAATATCTATTCATCCCAAATAAAATATTTTTTTATTCACTGCGTCTTTAGGCCACCGTAAAAGCCGCTGCAAGACAAAATCTGGGCCACTGATCTAGATTACGTCCAAACTTAAGCGGATGTAGGGTAAGTGGGGGCCCGGCTCATTTACTCCAAAAACAAAGCCGTACGGCCCCTCCCATGCGACGTCGTTTTCTATGCCAACCACTCGCTTTTCCCTCGCTCATGCCACATTCTTTTGCACATAAGCCTGTGCAGTTGTCGAGCCTCGTGGAGAACATCCACCCGCAATTTCATCCTCCCAATACCCGCCATTAATAGCTCCCATTAATTAATTAACGTAAAACTAAATTTTAAAATGTAATTTTTATTTTATATTTACATTTAAATTTCAACTTTTAAAATAATATTTAAATATTAAACACCATAAATGTGTGTATTGCCGATTAAAAAATTGATGTAAATTAAGTATCACGTTTATCAATACCACCCGAATAAAATATATAAAAAAATAATACTTCATTTCCACTTTACCATTATAATTTTTCTAAAAACACGCATGAATATCCCAAATGGGTGACCTTTGCGATATACGTAGATATACAATTCAAGACAGTACAAATAAAAACATCATCGTACTATAATTCATGATAAATAAAGATTAAAATGGTTCCAAAATTTTTGTAATTATATCTTTCTCTAATGGAGAAAAAGAATGTGAATAACCGTTCTTACATCCGTGCGTCTAGATCCTAAATGGTAATAATTTAACCACTGAAACGAAAAAAGAAAAAAGAAAAAAAAAATTGAATATCACTGCTCTGGGTCTGATTTCTGAACTGATTTTTATCCTTTTGGGTATAATTTATAATTATAACAAAAAATTGGGGTTAGACTAAAATGGAAGGGGTAGTAGTAGTACGCTGGCTCAGTACACCAGGATGTGACTGAGAAGAAATCCAAGCCAGCCATCTCGAAACGACCCCGGCTTGTCGTTGTCGATGATGGTGATGGCTGTTATTACTCCCTCTGCTGGAAAACCTGCTTAAGCCCGTGATTTCCGACACACTTCTCGAGTTAATTACCTTTCTGCCATTCCCGTCATCACTGCGCTGTGACTGTTGCCCTTCTCTGTTGATCACGTACAATGGCAGCAGCATCTTTTGCTGCTGCAGCAGCTGCTGCTTCTTAGCTGACGGCCGTGATGAGGACTCCAGCGAGAATCTACGGCTCTCGCTGATTATCATTTCTGACCGTAGATAGAGCAGATCTGACGGCTGTACGTCGCTCCATCTCTGGTATTGGTGGTGGAAATGGGGCCCCCCGGATCCGTTATTGTTGCCGACGGAGACAATGATCCTATGTTCGAACCTGCGTTCGAAGCTTTTTCTATCGGCCATCAATCCATCAGTCAACAGAAGACCGTCTTTTCGAATGGAACGGTCAAAGCACCCTACGGCTACGGATTCTGTCTTCTTTCTAGCGGCTGATGAGGAACTGTCCAACGACATCCTAAACGACGTCGGATCACGACAGGATGCAGAACCAGGACCCGAACCTGAGTCGTTGTGTCTGTGCAGTTTGATTTGCAACAAACTGTTGCTCGTTCTCTCCCCGGCCGATGAGTGCCGCCCCGAAACACGACGTAACCACGATTCAGCCCGAGTTATCGTCGATGAGCCGGCGCCGCTCCTCCGGTTTTCCGAGGTTTCCGAACCGGGATCATCTTCCGTATTATTCCGCAAAAACGTGGAATCCTCGACCAAGAGGACGTCTTCCGGGTCGACTCGGTAGCGGCAGAGCGGGCAGGTGGAATGGCCGTCGAGCCAGATATCGACGCACTCAACGTGGAAGGCGTGCTTGCACTTAGGGAGTAATCGGAGTACCTCATTCGGTTCGAACCGGCCGAGACATACCGCGCATTCGAGTCCTTCCTTCTGGCCTCTCAGCGAACCGAAGCGGAAAACCGGCAGCGACTCGACCACCGCTCTGTCGATCCCAGAGTTCCTTCGCCCGCTGATTCCCCCACCTCCGCTTAACGAGTCGTATGGACTCGGGCCGTAAGAGTCATCGCTTGATTGCTTACAGTGCCTTAAATAGAGGAGCATGAAAAAGATGATGGAGAACATAGTAGTTAAAACGGCGACTATGACGGCTATGCTGGGCTTGACCAGCGATCGAGGAGGCGGCGGTGAAGACAGAAACAGGTTGGTGGTGGTTGCGGGTGTGGTGTGGATAAATGCATCGGCGGGAGGGGGAGGCGGGGTGTTGGTGGAAGGATCATGATCAGATGCTGCGAACAAGGGTATAAGCAGGTAGAGTGTTGTAAGGAAAAGGGAGGAGGAAGAAGAAAATGGTGTGGTTAGGGGCTTGAAAGAGCCCATGTCTAACGCATCTGGTAACGAAGAAAAGTGGCTTTTAAAACTTGTTTTGGGGACCTGAAACTGAGGGCTGAGGAGGAAGAAGGAGAGAGATTCTGCGAGATGGGTGGAGAGAGGGGATACAAGGAAGATAAAGACAAAAGGCATGCAATATTAACTGACGCTCACTGATTCAGTTTAATTATAAAAACAAAAAAAAGAAAAATGTAAACACTTATATATATATATATATATACGTTAATAAAAAATGTTTAGTTTAAAAGTCATTCTGACTATGCCATGTAAAAAAAAATTATCGTATCTATAAAATATTCCGCTACAAATATATAAATTTATTAATATTTAATATAATTTAATAATTATAATTTTACTAATATATTAATGAATAAAATCTTTAATATTATTAATCTAATATTATAAATTATAAATTTATAATGTACTTCCTCAATGGAATTTAAATTTATCACCTCCAAATGAAAATATAATGACATAAATTTTTTTAATAACTTATTAAAAATTGAAAGTAATTTATACAATAAAATTAAATATCATACATTATTAAAGTGAAAAATAAGTTCGGTATTCTTAAAAAAAACAAATTAGGATCGAAACGCGCGTTGAGACAAAACGGAGTAAAGAAGCAAAACGGGGTGTGACTTGCCACGTTCCGTGGTCGTAAAACGCAGTTATCGTTTCTTCACTGTTTGTTTCTTTGTTTTTCAATGGGTTCAGTTGGTTGATTGGGGGATTATTTTATCCATTCTTTAACTCCATTTCTTAACAATACAAATTAAATTTAAAATAAATTTGTTGTGCTCTATTTAAGAATACAACACTACACTTAAAAGGATTTATGGTAAATTTTATTTAAATTTTAATTTAGTCAAATAAAAATGTAAACATAATAATACAAATTTCAATAAAAATAATATCTTAATTTAAGATTAATTCTATATATTTCTAATTAAAATTATGGGTTTGTAAAATTTATTATTTAATGTGTAAAAATATAAATTAATTTTTATTCCTCATTCTCTGATCTTTCTAAATTAAAAAGCTAATTTCAATATATATATATATATTTTTTTTAACACCAATCACATCCTTATTTATTGACATTCAATAAAAAACATATTTCAAAACACTGTTTCCTCTTTTATTTTATTTTTTAATCTTTCTGTATTAAATAAAAATAAAAAGTGGGAAGTGTCACACCCCTTAATTTGGAGAGTCACATTCCCACTTTCTTTTCACGGACAAATGTTAAGATGACATTTCAAGCCCCGTGGTCCTATCTGTTGATGTTGATCAAGAAGGACATATATATATATATATATATATATGGAGAACCCTTCAATTATTGTTTTGGAAATGGCTTATAATTATAATTATATAAGTTAGTAAAGTACATGAAATTACATAAATAAATATATTTATTAGCTTTAAAAGAATTACAACATGTGTCTTGTGCTAAAGTATTCATTTGATTTTATTTCCTTTTCTATCTCTAATTACCACAGTAAAAAAATTATTTCAAAAGGGTAAATACTTATTTCCAACATAATTTTTTTTCCTGAACGCTCATTTCCAAGCTCTCCATTTTGAGCCGGGGAGAGCATGAACGTGTTATAAGGTGGCACCCTACAAAAAGGGTCCTAAAAACTGCAAGAAGAATAGCCTGCTGAAAGTGTAATTTAGCCCCATAGTCCAATTATAATAGTAGCCCTTTCTAAAGCCATATTCACCACAACAAGAGGCCATTTGTCCTTCTCTTTTACCTTCTGATTCCCTTATAAATTAATGCTTTATCAAAATTTGGTTGAGGCATGCAATTGTTAGTGGGTTATTTAAAAATAAATAGATTGATATATATTATTTCTTGTTATAATTTGATGTCTATGATTTTTATTTGTCTCAAACACTCATTTTCTTATAATTTTTTTAATTTAAAAAGTTAAATCACAGTGAAATGTTTAAAAAATAGTTTAATTAATTAATTAATTAATCATATTGTACTTTTTTTTAATTATTAATTTAATTAATTACAAATAAAAATAATTTTGTTTGAGTTATTATTTTAAAGTATTTAAATATGATATGATTATTTTTATTTTTATAATTAAAAAAATTAATGAAAACTGAACAGTTTGAAATAATAGAAAATGTCAAAGATAATTGAACAAAATTAAAGACCAAATTATAACAAATGTAAAACTTAATAATTTATTTATTGGTTTTGTTATTATTTAAGTTATATAATATTAATGAAATGTTCGGGTCTATTATAACTTAATATTCAATAAAAATATATCATAATTTACTATGATTTATTTAATCTTATTGATAAAGAGTAAAATAATTTCATATAATCATAATACATATAAAACCTATACAAAAAGGATTCCATACAAGCTTCGTGCATTCATGAATAATATATATATGCATACATTCGAGGTGAAAAAAGTTGAATCAAATTTTTAACATGTCATGGCAACTGAACTAAAGAAGCCTACCCATAAATGTTTTTTCCCTTTTTTTTTTTGGTTAAAAGCATAACAAGTTTATTGAAATAAGAAAATTTAATTATAACGAAATATTTTTTCGTCATTTGATAACTGTATTTCTGTAAAAACATTAATAAATTAATTTTATTAAATTAATTATTATAAAATTATTATTGTCAGTTAATAATATATTCAGAAAGTAATAAAATTTATTTTTCTCACTAAAAGTTATAACTATGACTTTCAGATGTGTGTGTGTATAGAGAGAGAGTCTGTAGAGAAATGAGGTATCATGCTTTGTATGTGATTGTGGTAGTTAAAAGAGTAGAGTGTTGGGGGGGGGGGACGTGGATAGGGTCCTTTCAATTTTTAAATTTCAACAACTATGATGCTCACATGGTCAGACATTCTAAAGCTTGTTTTTATTGTGTCCTTGTCTTCTACTTGTTGGCTTCTCTTCAATAATGGAATTTATTTTTTCTCCTGGTGAATTCATTACTAAATATATATATATTTAACCAAATATATATAAATATTTTAAATTTATTATTATTATTATTATTATGAAATAAAATACCCACACACACATATATTTTTATATATATATATATATATTTTGACAACAACTTGGAAGAAAAATGTGATATGGCTAGTAATGGATAAAAAGCCTTTTCCCCCCAAAGCTGGTAGGAATGTTTAACTGAGACTGGTGTTTGCTTCTGCTCCCATCCATACACATGCGAACAATCTAAGACGCGAGCTTAAAATTTTCTCAAACACTTACTTTTGTTTTCTAATTACCATTTTAAACCTGTAATTATCAAAGAGTTATAACTTAATAATTGCCAAAAAAAGCTGTCAATTTGATGTAAATCAATAATAACTGCCGTAAGATTGAAGAGATATAAATTTTATTATATGCATATAGGCTACATATTCAATCAACTATTTTTTTTTTTTATTTTGACCATGTGAGGGGATTATGTTGTCACGCTTTTAAGGCTCTGTTTGGGAGAAAAAGAAATGGAAAGAGGGAGAGGGAAATCAATGACATGTTTTCTTTTAAATAATAACGTGGACGGCCCAACGTAAAATTTCAAAACATGTACTCGACCGCACCGAATCTCTCATCCGCAGAAGGAAAAATGAATTTTCCCGCCCAATTCAACTGTAACCAACGCACAGCCCTGCGCTAAACTACGCTCCCGTGCGCACTGTGCACCCCCTCTTCCTCCTCCCAAAACCCAGAAAACTCTGTAACTTAACCCGCAGAACTGCAGAAGCCGAGACTAAGCAGCGCCAAACCCAGACCGCCATTTTCGGACATCTTTCTCTCACTCAAGAAACCAAGAGGAAGGGAACCATGTCTCTTTCGTCTTCTCTCCTCATTCTTTCCCTCCTCTGCACCTTCCAGGGAACCACCTCGCTTCCCAAAATCGGTGTCACCTACTCCTCCCCCTCGGTCCCCACAACAGTACGTACGATCATTTCCACCTCGCCTCCGCCGGCTGCCGATCAGCCTCCGTCCCCGGATCGTATTGCGGCGGTGATTAATAATCTCGGCTTGCCGGCCGTTCGGCTCCCGGACTCCGATCCGTCAATGGTCCGTGCCTTCTCCTACACCAACACCTCTCTCCTCCTTTCCATCCCCAATCTCCTGGTTCCTCTCCTCGCCGCCAATCGTTCACTCGCTCTCAGGTGGGTCTACCGCCATGTCCTTCCTTTCCATCCTCGGTCAAAGATCTCCCTCATCTCGGTTGGAAACGACGCCGTTTCCTCCTCTCCGGACGTCTCCTCCTATCTCCTTCCTGCAGTCAGGAACCTCCATCTCGCCCTTCGCGATTTGGGAATCAGGAAGGTCCCGGTGTCATCGACGTTCTCCTTCTTTTCCACCATCACCACCGCGTTCCCACCTTCCTCAGCTCTGTTCCAGCAACCCGTCGGCGATCTCATCATCAAACCCTTGCTCCAGTTCTTGGAAGACACAAACTCTTCCTTCTTGATCAACATCTACCCTTACAACATGTACCGCCTAAACGCCGAGATCCCCATCGGATTCGCTCTGTTTCAAGAACACCCGTTCAACTTCCGGGACGATTTGATTACCGGAGTCCGGTACAGGAACCTGTTCGATATGATGGTGGACGCTGTGATTAGCGCCATGGCAGTGGCCGGGTACCAGAATGTCCCTGTGGTAGTGGCTGAAACCGGATGGCCAAGCTCCAGCCCCGATCCCGGGGAGGTTGATGCGACACCGTTTTATGCAGAGATGTATCTAAAAGGACTGGTGGGTCACCTGAGGTCTGGGCTGGGTACGCCGTTGAGGAAAGAAGGAATAACAGAAGCGTACATATACGAACTGGTTGACAAGGACTGGAAGCAAGGAACCAGGAATTGGGGAATACTGTATCAGAACACGACTAAGAAGTACAACATTGAGTACTCTGGTGTGAGCAGGATTGGTTGGTTCAGAGGGATATTGATTGCAATATTCTTAATGGGTTTGTTCTGATTTTATGATTTTCTTTTTGATGAATTGGGTTCTCAATTTTGAGAACTCAGGGTTACAGTGTTAGTACAACAAATACCCATTTGGAAATTAAGCTTAGATTCTTGTTTGTAGCAATTTTTCTTTGTACAGACTTGTTCATTTCCCCCACAGAAATTTTTGATAAAGAAAATTACAGATCACAGGCTTGATGATTGGGGATTTGATAAGATGTGAATGATGTGTGCATTCTGTGATAAATGTGGCTTCAATAAAACATCGAATTTTACTGTCTTTGTTCATAAACTCAGTCTTCAACTATCCAACATGACTATGACTCAGACTATCCAAATAACAAAATCTGTAAAGGACATATTCCTAGGAAGAAAGAAAATTCAAGTCGTCAAAACCAGAAAATGCCATGCATGGAGGAGATCTTTGTATTCCATAAATGAAATAATTATTAGTAACTTCGTAAAAAAGGCTCGAAACTGGGATCTCTTCAGAAGTGGTAAGGTGCCAAGGGAGTTCATGAGGAAGTTTGCATCGATGAATAGTCAACTCTTTCATTTTCACCAAACAAGCGAGGCGGCTTTCCTCTGACGAACAGGGAGAGGATGAAGAGGAAAGAAAGCACCAAAGAGAAAAGGTTTACTGAAGAGTCCCCTGAGGAGAGTAAGAGGAAGACGATGATACACATATATTTATGAATATAAAAAAAAATCGAAAGTGTGAATTTTTATTCCGTTCCATTTCCATAGCCGAGTACATCTGAACTTACGGCGAATCGGAATGGCAACAAGCCGACATGGGTGGTAAAGCCTGGTCCAAAAATTCGCTTTTTTGCTTTTGGGCCTTTTTAAAAGTTTGAACGTTTATAACCCAATGTAAAGCATATAAGGCCCTAGTGCTGCTATCTCACTGAAGATTTTGGTTAAAAAGGCCAAAACGCATGACAAATTTTATATTAGGAGGTTCTTCAAAAAGCTCGAAAAATCTCAAATGGTGTCTTCTCCCTTCTGAATTGCAGGTACGCATCTCTGTTTCGGTTTCTTTTTCGCCCGTAACACCTTCAATTTTGCTTATGAGGATACACGGGTCTGCTTTGGACAGGGGTTTTTGCTTATCTTCTTTTTGTATTTACGTTCTCGATTCCTATCATACTGCATAACCACAGTTTAATTTTCTAAAGTTATCAACTATTCTGTCTCTTAAACATTCTTCGGAAAAAGATTTAGTGGCTTCTATGTTGGTAGTATGTTGTTCAGAAACATATCCATTGAGCATGCCCTGAAATTCAAGAAGCCAAATAATAGTGCTTCTTTTTCCCGATTATTCCTGTTTTGTTAATCTATATGTGTGCGTGTGCGTGTGCGTGTGCGTGTCATTCCGTTGATGGAGGAAATTTAAGTAATTGTGTATTGTGTTTTTCGGTACAATGTTTGAGAATTAGATATTGAGATATGTGTTTAAGGAATTCAATGTTGACAAGGATATAAGTTGTTCTGACTTCATTGAAGAACAGGTCACTCTGGATTACATCATGATTCTTTACTTCAAATTCCCTTTGCTTTCCTGGACATCATTAGTTAGTTAGAAGATACTTTGTATTTTTACCTTCATGAATCTTGTATATTCTTCATGAATCATTAGTTAGGGTAGTCATTCAAATCATGTAGCTACATATTTCTGATTTCAGATCTTCTTAGCAAGTTTTAGTATTAATCTTTTAATAGATAGTGGGTCCTCTATATATATTTTTTTTGTGAAAATAATCTGTTCAAGAAGAAGTATTTGTAAGTCAACATGCATGTGTTTGTTCGTGAATAGGTGCAGGCGAGCATGTAAGAGACTAAGCAAGGTTGGTAAATTTGCTCTTATTCAAATGAGAGATGCTAATTATTGTATTTCCTTTGAATGTTAGCAGAATAGTGCCTAGTGGAAGGGGATGTCAGACTTGTCAGTTCCGAAAGTGAAAGCTACTTGGACACCTGCTTTTCATGAAATATTTGTTGAAGTGTGTCTAGAACAAACATTGAAGGGCAACAAACCCGGTACTTATTTTAACAAGGAGGGTTGGAAGAATATTCTAGAATCATTTGGCAAGAAGACTGGGGTAAGGTATGATAGAAAACAATTAAAGAATCACTGGGATTGTGTTTGTAAACAATGGAAAGCCTGGTGTAGGCTCACTAATTGCAGTAGCATGAAATGGGATCCAGAAACAAATACATTTGGTGCCACTCAAGAAGATTGGGCTAACCATTTAAAGGTACAGGAACTGACTCCATAACAATTAGTCCTAACAGGTTTAACTAGAAATTCATTATGAATTCCTTGTTGATAACTGTATAGTAGTTATAACAGGTAAACCCAGAAGCTGCACAGTTTCAGTTGAAGGAGCTTCCACATGTTGAGAAATTAGAAGTCATATTTGCTGGTAAAATGAATAATGGAGACAAGCCACTTCTAGTCCAGCGTAAGCGAAAAGCTGCTGATTCAACCACATCCCTTTGTGATGCTAATGCAGTTGACTTAAGACATGAACAAAGATTTGCAAGTGGACCCAGTGAATCCAGCTCATTGCTTACAAAGATAAAAGCCACTTGGACTCCTGCTTTCCATGAAATATTTATTGACTTGTGTCTTGAAGAGGTACTGAAAGGAAATAAACCCGGGACACATTTTACCAGGGATGGATGGATGAATATTGTTGATTCATTTTATGTAAAGACTGGTACGAATTATGATAGAATACAACTAGAAAACCATTTGAATCACACTAAAGAACAATGGAAAATCTGGTGTAAGCTCATTAATGACGATAGGATGAAATGGGATCCAGATACCCGGTGTTTTGGCGCTAGTGAAGAGGATTGGATGAACTATACTCAGGTGTGTCAAGAAAGCTAATTACTGGTGCTGTTACTTAATTAGAATTTCTTGGAAGATCTTATAGAACTTTAGCATATCAATGGCATAGTGTTCATCAAATGCCTATTGCTTTTGTTACAGGAACATCCTGAAGCTGCTCACTTTCGCCATAAGGAACTCCAGTGCATTGACAAATTGGAAATTATCTTCGATGAAGCAACTAGTACTGGAGAGACAGATCCTCTGATTCGACAGATGAGGTCCAAAGATAATTCTACAAGTTCATATTTGCTTATAAATGAACATACCATGGCAAATCCAATTAGTAAAAGTGAGTATCTTTTTGATGCTGTTGAATCAAGGAGTCCTGTTACAGTTCCAAGGAGTCCTGCACCGATCCAGTCTATGCCCAACAAATTTACTTACAATATTGGGGAATGCATTGAATGTCTTGATGGGATGGAGGAGGTAGAACAAGGAAGTGACCTATACTTGTTTGCCTTGGACATATTCTTGAAGAAGGAATATAGAGAAATTTTCCTTCAGTTGAAGAAGCCTAGTGTTAGGATTGCGTGGTTACAGCGGCTGC